TATATGTTTTTTCATGTATCATATACACAGCACACACTGTGATTTTGTGAGTGAGTCAGATCGCATTGTAAAATTTGGGATGGCTAACATTTGTTGGTAAGGCAACTTTGAACATGAACTGACCTTCATTTGATGTCCTTAGCTCATATATTTTGTCCCCTATGTAATAATAATAATAATAATAATAATAATAATAATAATAATAATAATAATAATAATATATTACTTGGTTCATCTTATTCTCGTGTTCGAAACTTATTTGATTCGAGTAATTAAGTCCAGGGGTTTTTCATAACCTGGTGCTTATGGTTAACTGACTTGGATTAAGCGGCCTAAAGTTCGTTACATGGATCATTTAGTCGCTTAATGGACAAGAGTATGCACATAAGATGCAATTTGTGAAAAATGACATAAAAAAATATATGTTCATATTCATGGGGAGAAAATGAAAAAAAAAATCGTGGAATCGAGCTCATTTTAAGGTCCTAATCATCTTATGGGTTTGCCTTTCATTAGTAAGGGAATATACTTATTTGCCTGTCATGTTCGCATGTCATTTACCACAAATTTAAGGTTTGGAATCATGCTCACGAGAAAATAGTGACACTTAACACACGTGAGTCACTTATACAATTTACTCAATTTTAAACTTAATTGAGTATGTGGGGAATTGTTTTTCTTGATAATGCATTATTTGTGATCATGTTCATCTTTGAGTTCATCTGTATGTCAGAGACTAATTAAAAAATAAAAATAAAAAAGGGTGTTATTTTTCTTTATTTTCAAAAATTCAGTGTTGTTTTTGTCAACACGTTTTGCTAACTTTTCGCTAGGAGGCGCTCGAGCAATAGAAGCAGAAGCTTCCTAGCTCACTTCTTGCTCGACCCTTGCTCGAGCGACATGCCGTATTTTTGAATTTTAATGTTATTTTTTAGGGTTTTTCGCACTTTCTTCCCATTTTTTCTTTTGATTCCTCTCAAATTACACCAACCCATATCCAATCTTTGTTTTTCTCAAGTTTTGAATGTCGCTAATCACTCATTTTTGGTGCCATTTCATCAAAT